CCATGGCTTTCCTCTAGATTGAGATGTTGGCAATTATGTTTAGTGTCAGAGTAAGGAATTGGCATGGCCCCCATCTTGAAAGGGTTAGGGAGCATTATATGGGGGACACTAAAGCAAAGGACTTCTAAGTTTTTCTGCTAAGAATCCATCAGTCATGGCTGAGATCGAACCCTCTTCTCTTATTTGTGAGTTTGGAAAAGCCTCATAAGTCAGGCCCTATTGAATTGCGTAGCTAAAGGGGCAGGAATAGGGGTAGTTATGTTTGTTATTTTATTTCTAATTTGTTTGCTTAATCATCTTTACATAGGTTCCCTTGCTCGAGCACAGTTGAAGTCTTGGGAAGCCAGACAAGTTGCAGATGTTGTTGGGACTGAGAAAGCATTCAAAGTATTGAAAGAAGCTCTATTTTCAATGGAGAGAGTTGAAGACAAATCTAGCGAGTCCTTTAAGCTCACCAAAGGCCTTTACTTGCACACTGAAGGAGAAATTCTCTGGAGAAACAGAGACTATAAAAAAGCACTTGCAAGCTTGACGTTGGCCTTAACATTCTCTGAGCCGCTGCTGAAAGAACATACCGATCTTGCAAGGTGCTACAATGCAATTGGAAACTGTCATCTAAGTCTGAAACAGCCCACAAAAGCGCTCGAGTTCTTTGAAAAAGCCTACATGATGCAAGAGAAATTAGCAGCCTCTAAGAACCACTTCGACTTGCCAATGTACAAGCAACAGATTGGAGCGGCGTATGATCATGATGGCCTGAAAGATTATGAAAAGGCAGTTGAATGTTACAAAGATGCACTGGGACTGCTGGAAGATCTCAAACTCCTAGGTTGTTTGGATGAAGCACACTTCTGTAGAAATCTTGCAAATGTGCTTATGTTTCAAAAGAAATATTCAGAGGCAGTCAAACCTGCAGAAAGGGCTCTCAAGATTAGGATGGATCTTCTAAAAAATCATCCACTGACTGTGCGTAGCATTTTTCAGCGAGCGGTTCTTGAAGTTAATCTTGAACATCCAAAAGAAGCCTTGAAGTTCTTCCTTGCAGCATGGGAGATGGAAAAGTCACTCGGGGCGGGAAACCACAGTGAAGTATGGCGAAAGATTATTGAAGGTGTCAACGCTATGTGTTACCGCCTGAAAGAAAAACGACAGTGGGAAAGATTTAGGAAAGATGCCTTTAAGTTTTGTCAGCGATTCTGGGGAGAACAGAAAGTATCTGCACAATTCACCTTCAATAAGTACAACAGAGAAATCATTGATGCGCTAAAAGAGTATGCTATTGATAAGAAAGACAAACATGCAGTGCGTAAGGAACAACTTTGGTTCTACGAAGGGATGTGCAATGTCGACGAGAGAGAGTTTCAAGAGACGTTTGAACTGGAAAACGATAACAATATCCTCCTTGATCTGTTGAAAGAACGAGATAGGCTCTTAACCGATGTTATACGCCTTTGTTCTGAACTTCACGAGCGTGAGAAGCTTGCAAAACACAAAGAACACAAGGTGGCTTTGTACAAAATGTGTCTTGTTAAAGCGGGTTTTCTTGGTGACAAGGCAGATGGCTTGGACAAAGCGTCATTGAAGAGGAAGGTAGAGGAACTGTACAAAGAGATAGGAAAAGAACGAATCATCCTGGAATTTAGAGAGACATTGTTGGCTTCTTGGCAAATGCAGTGGGAAGAAGGAAAAACCAAAGAAAAGGCGGAGAAGATCGGCGTTGAAAGAGAAACGACAATCGATGGCATTCTCCAGTTGAGCAAAGAGCTGATGAAAGATACTGTGTACAAACAGTATGGACAAGAAGCGTTGAGTTTTTATGATGAATTATGGGAAGTAAAGCACGCTTCCTTGAAGAATCCCGAAATGAAGAGGTTCCTTCTTAAAGTAAAGGATTTGGCGTCGTCCATCGGTGATTACAGGAGTAAAAAACTCTATGAAGATGCATTAAAGGTAGGAGTTTACTCATGTGTCAAACAACCTTAAACGTCAATGCTGCACGATTTCTTGTACGCTTTGCTCAGAGACAGCGAAGGAGCTGTTCGTACTAGCTGGTTCTTTGCAGGTATCGTTTACAATCTACTATCTTTTGTAATTTGTTTTGTTTTTACCCTTTTTTTGGTCCTGTTTTGGTTTTTGGAGAAATTTCACTTGGTACAAGTACCTTCGGCATCAAATTTACCTTACAGAGTGAGACACCAATAATTTTTCAGGAAATATTTTTGCATCTATGTTTTTTTTAGTGACTTACAACTTTTAAATCAATGATTTGAAGAGGCAATTAAGGATACTTATATTTAGAAAAACTCAGTTGAGTTTGAAATATTGTTCCTTTCTTCATGAGTCTTTGTACTTTGTTTCCAGGTGCTGAATGAAACTGGGAAACATCCAGGGGCCATATTGAGACCAAAAGGTAACACGCTTAGTTTAGATAATAACATGATTTCAAGCGCAATTTGCTGTTAGTAGCAAGAGTAAATTTTTCAAAGACAACAAAACTGCAAGAGCCTGTAGGGCAAGTGCAAAAAGTCTTTGAAAAATTTGCAAGTGCTTATTACACCAAACTGCGGGAGAAATCATGTTATTATATGTGAATAATGTACTTGAAGAAACATTACAAGATGTCAAGACAGACGAAATTTTGAAAGCGTGCGCGCGCTATTTGTAATTTGCACTCGTGTTACATGAGAATGCACTCGTTTTCAGCCAATCAGAAGCGCGTAATTTTTTCATGAATGTACATTATTATTCTGTTATCTGAGTATTTACTTTACCCATAAGTAACTTCTGTTTTCCAGTATTGTATCTCAATTGGTTTTATATATTTAGATACCTTGAATGTTGTAGTATGAAATTCTGAAACAACATCGTGCTTATTTTTACTGAGCTTTATATCGACTTCTGCGAGTGTTATGACTTCGTTTGGAAATTGATAACAATAGTACCTTGAGTCTTAAGTTTATCAGAATTTCAAGTCTTGTAAAAATTCTTTTCTGATCTCTTTAAACAACAAAAAATTAAGAGAACAATAGTGGAGAACAATTTGAATGTGTTGAATTCAGAGACATAGGGGTTCTTGCTTTATTCCAGAAATCTCGGCTTTTGTTTTTCAAAGGTGCATTGCCATTGGTTCCAGTTGGACATGAAGCTGTATTTAGAACCTTGTCCCTCTGTTTTTACTTTTATTTATTTTGTTTTCCATTAGCTACAAGTTCCACTTCTAAATCGAAGAGAGAAGAGAAGGATGATGAAGAGGAAAAAGAGGAAATTGAGATTGAACAGAAAAAGGAAGAGCTCGAAATTGGCTTAGAAGAAGAAACTGAGGTTGGGGCAGAGATGGAACCCTCTTCTGAAGGTGTTCAAACTGATGAGAGAAGCATCATTTTCAAGTAAAGCCATGTTACATTTATTATTTCAATAGACATTAGTATTTAGTTAAACAGCGGAAAGCGTTCAAAGTGCGCTCTGATTGGCTACTCAAACTCAGAATACCTTTGCTATTCATCTCCAAGCAACTCGGATTAATTATATGGATGTGCGTGCTCTGATTGGTCGTCGTCTCTCGCTATACTCAGCCATTGGGAGAAACTTTATTGTCAGAGAAAAACTAAATGAGAAAGCGGGATGTTTGTAGCTTTTATCATTGTTTCAAGAGCTCACAGTGCACATAGCACCCCTTCAGTTCAGCGGGTGCTTTTCTCTATAACCTGAAGTTTAGAAAATTGTAAATATAAATGTTTCAATACCCTTACAACAAGAACACTGATGTAATATCATATTATGTTTATGGTATACAACACCAAATGGTATACAAGGTGTGCAATTCACTAGATATTTTTTCTTTCAATTCACAGAGACACTGTAACAACACAAGGTGGCCGCTGGGACTTGAGGAAGGCAGCAACTCACTTGGTATTTCCTCGTGGTTTTGTTGCTGAGGACACTATATTGACTCTTTTTCGATTGAAATCCTCACTGTGTTCTCCTCCTCTTCAGCCAAATGAAGCCATAGTCAGCAATGTTCTTGAATTATCGGCAGACACTCCTGAAAGTCTTCTATTCAATAAAGAAGTCACGCTTGGAATTTCGCACAGTGCGTTGGACCTTAAAGGATATGAAGTGGTGATTAAGACCTTGATAGACAGAGAGAGAAATGAATGGAAGGACGTCGAGCAAACAGTTGATTATAGATCTCTGTCAGGTAAGCATTGGAAGTCATCGTGAATTAACCATGGTAACTTGTGTTCAAGCAATAAAGTGGCCTCTCTCAAAAATTGTTCAAAAGTCAACTTGTCAAAGCGTGTCGATCTTTAACAGTTTTATCAATGTTCTCCGTTTATGTCGGTGGTTTTTTTTACTTTTCTTCTCCCCATTATTTCAGATAGTTTGATCAGTACACTTACCCACACTGTGTACAAGTGCATATTACTGTTTGAAAGGGAACCTTGCACTGCAATTTTTTGTTTCTGTAGGGAACGAACTGACTGTAAAACACAAACAGCAAACAAAAAAACGTAAGAATATGTACCTTGATTCTCCCAGGGCGATTCTTATATAAATGTTGGTGATAGAGGACATCTGCCTGTAAACGACATTTTCAGGGAGAAGAACACACAATATACCGTCAATCTATTAGATCTTGTGGTTGTTGGTTCGCCAAACAGGTTCTTGTGGCGAAAGGTGGCTACTTATGAAAAAAGTGTTGGCTGGGGGTGGGGGGGGGTCCCATTGGAAGAAGGAAGCTGGTTGGAGAACGAAGTAAGCGGTTTTTAATAAACATGTAACAAAAGGATATCCCGTATTCACGATTTGTCAATTGACTGCCTAAAAATTATTTTTGCAGATCTTCAGAGAGTCTATCACGATAATTTTCCTGACTATCTTCTTCCTGTTGCTGAAACGAAGATTATCCAGTGTTCTACCTTCGTTGTGGTTTGCCGTCTCAAGTCCTACATTTTTACGATAACATCAGAACCGTCTACCATCTCTTTGCCTGATTTCCCTTTGGTGAAGATTCATTTTCCACCAAATTCGGTCTCGTCCACTGAAGAATTCAGTGTCAGAGTAAGTTTTCTTATGTAGGGAAGAAACAAATTCGACGATGCAGTTTCATTGGCTCAATATGTTCATCGTGTGAGTGGTCTTTTATCTGTGATGAATCATCTCGTCAGTAATTATTGTTACAGTTGTGTTTAATAAATGTAATGTTATTAATATTTATCATCGACTGAGTGATTAACTGTTTAGCTCATGCAACTCTTAGGTACAAGAATATATTTGAAAGGAATTGAAAGGCAAGGAAACGCTAGCTGGCCCCATCATAAGAATATCTTGCAACAAGGAGATTAAGTTTCAAGAAGCTGTCACCGTCCAGCTGCCGTTGTCCTTGAGAGACACTGAGCAGGACGCTGAATCATTGGGTATTTCTGATTTGTCCTTAGTCCGTGCTCGAGTCCTGTTTCAACCATCTAATGGTACACAGCGAGAGTGGACTGAAATCACAGATCTTCTCGATTCCCCTCCGTGGCTGGATGGGTTTGTTATCAAATTCAACGTGAGACACTTCTCAGGGTACGTCAGTGCATCTCTTTACTTCTTTACTTTTTGCTTACCACATCTGTCCCACTCTAAGTGGTACCTTTTCACATTTTTAGTTTATAAGCATTTTTGTGGAAAACCTGTTTGGTAGCCAAGGCTGTTAGATGTGAATCAACTGCAAAACATTTGAATGAACAGATTGAATATTGTATTAAGTCATTTTAGCAGTGTTGAGATTCTCGTCCTCTTTTAAATCCTTACTGTTTTTCAATTTTGTTTCGTTTTCCTGTTGTGTATGCTTTCGTTTTTGGTTTGCGTTTTCGTTTATTTGGTAGAATGTCATAAGAAATCTTGATTGTACAATTTTGAGGAACGTGTATTGACATTGGACTGTGTTCCTTTCCCCTTTTTTCTCGAAAGATTTTGGACCTGGCTCGCATCACCATTAACCCAAATTGCCCGTGCATGGAATACGGAGAGTGTACGGCATTCAGTCGTTTTCACAGCTACTGTTCCAGTGCATACTAGACTTAACACCGATGTAGATCTGCTTTTGTACTGCAGTCCAAATGACAAGAAAAGAGAACACATCGATGATGAGAAGATGGTTTGGTTGATAGAAGAAAGTGCATGGTACAGCATGGTCACTGATGATCAAGCTTACGTCTTCCTTTCAGGGGATGCAGCGCAAGTAGTCAATAAGGAACGACTCAAGAATTTTTTTCTCAGGTAAATTTAAAATAGGTTTGCTGAGTGTCTGTTAAGTGCTTATATAGAAAGAGACAGACACTACGCCATGGAACGAATGGCTTTCCAAGAAATCTCCGCCTTGTAAAGTCCTTACTACAAAATAGGTTGTAAACGACTATGAATGTATGAAAGTCATAGACTTGAACTGCGGATAAAGACGTGAATTTGAACCCATGATCTCTGCGGTGCAGCGCTCTACCATCTGAGCTTACAAGCCAACTGGGAGCTGGTCATTCAACATAATGACCAGCTCCCAGTTGGTTTGTTAGCTCAGTTGGTAGAGCGCTGCACCGGTATCGCAGAGGTTATGGGTTCAAATCCCATACAGGCCTGAATTTTGTTCAGGCCTTATATCCACTACTGCTCAAGTAGTGTTCATTACTGCGAAAATCGCTAATACATTCAAAACAGATTGTCGTCATTCACATGATCTCTCTCTAAAATGAAGATAATTTTCTATTGGTATCATTTTCTAGCACGTATATTTTTATTATATTCCACTCAAGTAAACACTGCTTTTCACGCTCCCTAATTGACCAGCTCCAAGTTGACTAAATAAATAAATGACTTGGGACAAAGTTTGGGTTGGCGACACAAATCAAATGAAGTTGTTTAATCTTCCCAGCCTAATATTGTAGAGCAAATGTCCAAGTTACCGATTGCTGTCGAGAATTATGAAAGGAACAACGCCCTCGTAGTTAAGCTAGTTTAGTTCTGTTAATATACCAAAAAACTGGTTGGAAATATAACTCCTGACTCGAGATGTTGTCTTTTCAGCTGCTCAGAGCTGAATGGTACTTGCTGATCACCTCCAAACCAGCCAATCAGCGCGTGCGAAAAGCATTATTTATCTGTGTGGTTATACTTATTGTTAATTATCTAATTAGAATCCAATGAAGGAATTTCTTTAGTGAAAAACTGATGGAGAAAATGAAGCGAAAATCTTCGACTATTTCCAGTTATCCCTGTCTTTGAATGCTGCTATTTCCACAGGTTTGATAGAGAGGCTTCTAATTTTAGACGTCTGGCGGTACACGTGGTAAACAAAGGCGTCCTAACGATAGAGTTCTACAAAAGTAAAGATCGGAGTGATGGAAATATGATTGGTGTACTGGATATGAAACTGCCTCCCGCGCTGGACCTTGCGGTGAGTATCTTTAGTCAGCGCCGTACAATATCATTTGTTGGTAATAGCTGTCCCTATCTCCTCCCCTTGCCACTTTCTAGAACAAACTAGGACCTTACACAAATATCTCTACAAAGAGTACAAACAGTTCAGAGCCACTTTAATTTTCAAATATATGGGTGGATCAGAGCCATTGGTACATACTTTTTTATTCAACTTAACAGAAAGGTGATTGTTGATATGTTGGTTGCAATTCGTTTTTGACTTTTAAAGCACATAAAGGGCTATGACTAACATGCTGAGTAATAATTGGACATTCTTTTCACACAATTCTCTGGGGAACACATGGAAAAATATGTTAGTTTTGATTTGTTACAAAAAAAAGTGTTTCAGTAATACAGAAAACATTCTGAGTTACTATTAGGTAAGGTGACTGTTGAAGTGTGAAATAACTTTAACTTGCAGAGTACTCCTGTGAAGTTTCTAGGCATTCCCGTAGATGACAGAATACTTCACGAAGCTCCTTTGGCCGAAATCCTGGCAGCATGTAACGGGGTGTTAGAGAAAATAGGCCGGTGGGATATTCATGAAAGTCATTTGCGAAGCAACCTCGATGAATTTCGCAAAAAATGTAGTTTCTACGGAGCTCTTGCGAGCTTACCCGTAGAGTATCAACGAGAGTGCTGTGATGCAATCATTAGCTTTCTGAGGGAGCACAGACGAACCGGTTTCGAAGGCTTTAAACACATCGAAGAATATCTTATTCATGGTAAGTATGTAAAGCAATTAACTTTTTTTTCCCATTTATATATCAGTAATTTACCTTCAATAATACTTCCGAAGCTTCGTTAGAAAGTTAAAACTCACGGGAAACTTTTTAAAGACATGATTCGACATGACTCATGCCATTCTAGTTTATTGTGTTGCATCCGTTGACTATGTTTTTGCACGCTACAGTCGACATATCTGCAAAAGACAAACGGCAATCACTTTTAAAATGAACCTCGTTTATTCTTTCATTTGTTGCTGAATCCATCTGCGTTTGCTCTAGACTCACACACACGTAGCTTTTGACCACACTAGCGCACTCTTTTTCTTTACTGTTTTATGTGTTTTCCGGTTTGTGTTATATCCAGATGAGGGCCTTTTTTTCCCGGCCTTTCCACGGTACTCCATTCTGTAAATTGTAGCATTCGGGTTTTTAATTAAGAAATGTCACGGCAAATTTGCTGACACCCATCTGCTTACTCCTTAGAAGTGATCCCAGCTTGCTATTACATAACCTACATTTTTTTTTTTAATTTCCTTAGCAAAAGATGCCTGATAACTATCAATAAAAGCTTACGTCGCGAATTTTTTGAGAAGCTTTGAGAATGGTCTTTATAAATTAAAAATCAAGAAACGTATAATCGATGCCATAAGAAGAGAAGTGGATGATGACGAGGTTTGCTACAGAGCAGCGCTCAGAAAATTGTACGAGAAAAGTGGATCCTGAGCTACGAAAGTGAGGAAAGGAGGGTTTATGTTGCGACTTACGAGTAGGAGTTTTAGTTATGTGAAAGAGAACTGAAAGAAGTTTAGTTCCTTAATATAATTAAAGCGACTGTAAAAGTTAGAAGGCCTCAGTTGAAAGGGTAAGCAATCTTCTCACAACAGGATACAGAGATTAAAATATTTGCACAACCAAAGAAGGTTGGACATTTGGCGAAGAAGAACTTGCTTCATCAAAAGTAAAAAGACACTTGCCGGTTAAAATTACACGACTTTCTTTGCGTGCGTCGCTAAAATGCAAAGGGAAGAAGAGAAGAAAGTCAAATTGAAGTGCAAAGGACGAAGAAATTGCGAAAAGAAAAATAAGTTGAAAGGGAGAAAAAAGAGTGACGAACGACTCCTGGGATTTGGCATTTCCTCTCCCTCCCCCTCACGGTAGATCCTATCCACACTTTGTTTTCCTTATCACCTCCTCCTTTGCACGTCTGCTACGCAGGCCAGAATAGGCATCCTTCAGCTGAGACAAAAGAACTTTACTATATAAGGAAAAAAAAAAGTATTATAAATGAATTCGAAAATAATCCTTCATTCTGTTACTTATATTAACGTTGCTTTAAATATTGTGCTGCTATAGTATTGTCTTTTCTTTTCAATCCTTACTTTCAGTTTTTTTAAATTCTCATTTTTTATCTCTATTGTTGTCAATATAAGTTCATATATTCGGCTTTGAGTCGGTTATTTAAATTATTTATATCATTTTATAGTTGAAAATGTATTTTGGGATACTTTATTTTTAAATGGAAAAAAGTTTAAATGAACCTTTGTAAATAGTGGTTTACCAATTATTTTACATAGAAGAAAGAGAAGAGTAAAGACAATTTTTATGATGAAATCTACATTGTATCTTTTTGGTCAATTTTCATCGATACGCACACTTCCAAGAAACATTGGGCTCAGGATTTTACTATGACGGGAAAAAGGCCCTGTATTGCGCAGGTTATTTATTTTCTTTTTAGCACGAACTGCACACGGAGTGTTTCAACTTCTGGACAGCATTAATTTTCATGTACAAAAACTTAATGATAACATTACCCACAAATTTAGGAGGCTAATTTCGCTATATCCAGAATGCATTTTTTTTCTGAGGAGATGTACTTCTAGTTCAGGAAAGTTTGCATATCGCGCGTTTTCAGGCACAGAATCAAACAAAGAGCGTTAATCATTGGTTGCCATGAAACTGCAGTTTCGCATTTGTATGAGGTGAGTGACAAGCCAAATAATGGACGTGGCTCGTTTTTGTTCCTCCTTTTGTTCTGGGTGATCGTACAAATGCGAATGTTTGGGAAGAAACATTAGCTTTTTGGAGACACTTTTCTAGTTTTCTTCATTACAAGGGGTGAATTTTGGTGGACTTTGTTTGAAAAAGAGTTACTTAACGGACACAATAAAACAAATAGGAAAAGAGAAAAACAAAACAAACGCACGAGAAAAACGAAGGTTGGACTCCCCAACAACGATCTTCATCATCACGAGAAAAGCGTTTCCTCGCAATGATGAACTCGCTGCGGTGATTTCACTTTTTGTCGCCGGAGTTATGATTAAAAAGAACGAAGGTATGGCCATAAGAATAGAGGAAGAAAATATCGACAGCACCGAGATGGGCGCGAACATATTCCGAGGAAAGGAACTGATCATACCTTTCATATAACTTTTCACCAGCCTTATCTGGAATAACAGCTCAAGGAGTGTTTTGCCTGAATGAAGCACGATTCGATATTCTTTTCTTAAAACATAAAGCCAAAAGTTACCTAGACTGGCACTGCACTGTACTAGAATCCGTCGAATAAATTGGCGCCGTAAATGAGCAAAGAAAGTAAATAATACTTATAAAACCGTATTGTTGAACACGATCTACATAACTCAAGTTGTCCAAACGCGATAATCAGCCGGATAGAATTGTGCTCCCTTTGTCACCAGCTGCCACACATTGCACGAATTTAAGCTAAACAGAGACTGATTTTAAGCTAAACAAAGACTATCGTGGCTTCTGAAACACGAATAATGAAGACCAGAATATTTGATATTTTAAAGGAGAAATTTGTTTTCCCCACATTAGCAATTTTCCGTTCATGATTTAACCACCATTTTGAGGATCAAAGGACAACAAAGGTTTTTAAAAATGCTTTCCAAAGTAGGATTTTGAAAATACCCGTATATTCAACGGCTAAGGAGTATTTCCTCTCCATCTCGAAGCTTTTGGTTCTCATTCTTTTTATAGCACTCATATATGTATATGGGAGAAAGACAAAAACGATTCAGCCACATGTAAAAGTTATTTTTTTATAAACATTATTATTGTTATCATTAATTTTTTTTAACAGAAAAATGGATGAAAATGGGAAAACAATAACTGGATGTACAAAGACATCATTCGTCCAAGCAAAATCTGGCGCCTAATAGATAGTTTTGTGCGTCTCTATCATTGATATTGCATCTCACAAAAGTTTTACATTTTATTAAAAGTTGCAGTGTCAGTGATGGTGGATTCGCACATTCAATCATGAAAATGAAAAACTGTAAAAAGATTAATTGTCAAGTCGTTATTATGCACCAGCTTTGAACACATACAATCAAAAGAAAATTACCGGCCATTTTCGTTAATTTTCGATTAGAACTAGACACGGAACAAATGCTACATTGACTTCTCTAGTTTATCTATCAATTTCTTAATAACGACAACGTGATTAGTTAAAGTGTTTTAAGAAATGAAACAAAGCGAAAAATAATTTTTCCTTTTATTCGTGTTCGTCATATTCACCGAACAAATGAATTCACCTAGAGGGTGAAAAAGTGACAGCTTCTACGAAAATTAATTAGAAGAGAACAAAGCTGTTTCATTCATTCTATTATCAATTTAATCCCCAAAATGGTGGAAATATGAGAAAGCACCTGTTCTTACCGCGCGTGGAGGTAAAGACCTAGAAATTGGCTAAGAGATGATGAAATAAAGTGACAATTAATAGTTCGTGTAGTGTGATCGTCCGGGTGAGTGTAGTTCTGAAAAGAACTGTTGTTGGTGACTGACGTTTCGACTATCTGTGCAGTAGTCATCTTCAGAGTCAAGATGACTACCGCACAGATAGTCGAAACGTCAGTCACCAACAACAGTTCTTTTCAGAACTACACTCACCCGGACGATCACACAACACGAACTACTGATACTCCTGGGTTCAAACCATTTACTTTAGTGACAATTAAATTAATATAAATCCCGTTCAAACCAAACAGTAAAAAAAAAAAAATCATTGTATGAAGATAAAGACCTGGAAATTGGCCAAGAAGTGATGAAAAGCGCGCAATAATGAGCCTATCAGTTGTGTAAAATGAAAGTTGAATTAATATAAAGCACGTTCAAACCAAACAGACAAAATCATTATTGAACAGTTATCGATAAGATATTAATTAAAGGCCAAAAGAGGCACCTGTTTGTTTCTTAATGCGCTTGGAGTTGAGTGTTTCTGAAAACAAAATAGACATGCTGCGTATTATTTTACTTGAGCAATCAATTCTTGAACTGGGCCTTTCCTCAACACACAATGCGATCGTACCCAGAAGGGTTGATTATTGTTGAGTGTCGCGACTGATGAATTTTTGTCATCTCCTATCAGGTACTTATTCACTGGCGGTGCATGTTTGAAAGTCGTCATTTTTAAAAAAAAATAAGTTATGATTAAAAAAGAAATGAAAAGATTTGTGACCTGAGTTCAGAGTAAGAAGAAAGTCATTTCGAATTGATGTTACTGTAATAAAACTGACCTGTTTCGACAAGACCGTGATGTCCTTTTGTATGAACACATTTTCGTCGAATGAGCGTCGCATCAAGGCATCAAAATGCGGCCTTATTCCGAGGCATCTCATGTTTTTTTAATTGCTCATCTCAGTCGAAACACTTTAAGGGGGCGGCGCTTAATAGGGTATAAACGCTTGAACAACAAAGAGATACCAGTTTAACGATCCAGCGAGCGAAGCAAGATGCATTGCCTTACCATAATTATTGCTTTTCTTGTCTTTGGAGAATGTCGAGTTCTTGTGCAAGGTAAGAGTACAAGAAATAACTCAGTTCATCAAGGTTTTTTTTTTGGCTTTATTTTGAATTAATATCGGCTGAAATTTTCTTTAATACGTTACCTGTCTCAAATGTGGATCCTATTTAGTTGATTGGGCCGGAAGTATGTTCCCTGAGTCACGATAATTGTTTGTCGGTTTTCGGATAAGTATTGGGAGAGAGACCAACGGATGGAATTAGATCTTAATAACTTTTCCTAACAAAGAATGAATGTGGCGTGCATAGTAGATACATTTTTTTGTCTACTTTTTCTAATCTAGCATCTCTAACGGAGACAACGGCAGCGTTTTCGCACTGGGTGCGTGCTTGGTCTAACTGTCGCAAAAGTCATGATCAGCGTGGGGCTTGGGGAAAGCTAAAGCAATACCCCATACCTTATTTACCTGTGATGAATAACAATATCCATGGCAGAATATTCTACTATTTTGTCAAATATGTTTACTCAGTCTTCTCGTTTCATATTTTATTCTTTTCTAAGTATCACTTACAGATGCTAAAGATAGCCAAGAGTTTAGTTTAGCTGCAAGAAAAATGAGGACGAAAGAAACAAATTGTGTTTTGATTAGGGATCAACGATATCATGTGTACAGCCTAGAGTATTATAATTGTTTTCATTAGTCTCGAGTGGTCCAAAAAAATCTATGAAAGAAGAAAATTCGCGCGAAAATTTCAAAGGAGTTCCGCTCAGGAATTACATCATAGCCTTGATATGCTAAGGAAAATCAAGAAAATGAAAATTCTAAATTCTTCATACTGAGAAATAACATGCAAGAAATATAAACTACAGTTTATAATATCTTTTAGCATGCTATCTTGTCGTTGCAAGAATTTCTAAAAGGGACAGTTCTTTTAGGTTACTTGAAATCGCGAATTTTTAAGGTACACTTCCGAGTGTAACACACTGATCATATATAACGAAACTTCCCTGGAAAAAAAAGTCGCCTCAGTGCTAAAACCAATTTTTTAGACCCTCACTTGCTTCAAACATTTTTATTTGCAAATAAAACAGTTATTTGCAATGTGCTTAAATATTCTCTTATTGTTTTCTTTTTAATGGCGAAAATAGCACAATGTAAAATAGTCATAAATCACGCATTAAACACGAAAAACTTGTGACGCCCAACGAACCAAATTAATCAGTTCGAACTTAACATATCAATTTTGAAGGTTCGTAAATACACTACATAGAAGCGGGAATTTGTTTCGTACAGTAATAGCGTGCGTAAGAGAGAAAAACTGAAGATTTTGCTAACTAACTTGTATCAAGCAAGTACAAATAATCTTTGAACAACATCTAACTGATATTTATCTTGTCTTGACATGTGTAGGTTCTTCAATCAGGAGAACAGTTAGCCCTTGTTTTTCAAAACCATGCCTGAATGGAGGTGAATGCCGAGTGTCTCGGAAGGATTATATCTGCCTGTGCCCTGAAGGTTTTCACGGAAAAAATTGCCAAGAAGGTAAACGCTATCGAGTCATACGTGTCTCTTGCTAAGGAGAAATGAAACGAGTGGAGACAAGTCAGGAATAAAGGGTTCTTCGGTCATTTAATTGAACTCCTTTCCTCTCTGTGATATCTACTGTTTTCCTTTGATTTATTAATGCAGAAACAGGAGTAGAAACTTGCAAAGACACCAACGAGGTCCAATGTCCTATTTGGGCTGATAGAGGCGATTGCGAAACAAACCCGCACTGGATGAAAGTAAAGTGTCAGAAAAGCTGCAACACTTGTGGTAATAACCATTTGCTTTAAGGCATGATTAAGAGTTGTAATATGCTCCAAATCCTAAAGAAAAGTAATGCGGTAGTAATTTGATGACCTCCGAAACATTGGTGGCTGCAGGATCACGGTGTCAAGTCAAAAGAACCCATGGAAACCTAAAAGAACGTAAAAAATCTAAATTATAGGTTGTAAAATTTCCTTTTATTTCGAATTCAAAATATTGCGAGAGCAGAAAACCAGCTCTCGGCTCCGTTTTTAGGATTACTTTTGAAAGGAAAAAATACTGATGCACAAGGGCGACGCGATGTCTTTTAATTTCTTTTTATACATTACAAAGCAAAACAATTAAAAAAAAAGAAAAGCAAGAGTGTAAATGGAAACAAACAAATTAAAGCAAGCAATCAAATGACTGAACAAGAAAATTTGCATGAAAGTGCTGAGGGCTATGGAAATGAACTTGTGACAATGTCAAGGGGAGTTTTCTTTAATTTCGTAATTTTTTTTTTCGTCGTTAACGTTGTTTTTTATTTGTTGTTGTTGTTGTGATACGCGTAACCCGTTTTTTCTTGCCAGGGTGCGCAGACTCGAACGTCCAATGTCCCGAATGGGCTAAACTTGATGAATGCTTTAATAACCCGCAATGGATGAAGCGTAACTGTAGGTTTAGCTGTGAGCAGTGCCAAGAGCCGCAGATAGAGGTAAGACTTTGATGACCCTTTTTTTCATTGCTTAGCCTGGTAGCTGGATAAGACGAAAATTCCTGACAGTCAGCAGTCTTGATTATCCATTTAATCTATTTGAAAGACTTAGCTACAAAATGACCAACAAAAAGTATCATCATTACCTGAACTCATTAAGCTTTAATCAGAAACAGATATCTTTCAATTTAGAAATTAGGTCAGGGTTTTAAACATTTTTACTAAATAGATGGCTTAACAAAGCCGTTTAGTTCTGAAATAGTTTTACAGGATGATACTTAAAATATCCCCTATAGGCAGACACTGAAATGTGTTATTTAGTTTCGCAAGCATGTGAAAATGTTCCGAGAGGCGCCATGGAATTTGATCCTCCTATACGAACTGTTGGTGTTTGTTGCGGTTTAACGCATCAAAATAAAAGCGGACTGAAACCACGTTTAGAGTTCGTTAATTGGCTCCAGGAAAAGCGCTTGTTTTCACAAAAGTCTAAAAAAAAATTTGAAAAGCTAAAACATGGCTCACCCCCCTACAAGATGAATAATAACTTTAGAACCGATGAAAAAAGATGTGGGTAGATTCTCGAGGGTTTAGAAAATTTCATTGAAGAATTACCTGGGTCGCCATTCTATTGAATGTTGATTAAATACACAAGTTGGAACTAAGGAAATTTCGAGAATTCAATATCAGCTAGCCAAACGTCAATTAACAAAAAACATGACTTTTTTGGTGTCGTTGTTTATTCTAATACCAGTTCAGCTATATATTTAGCTCTAATAATGATAATAATAATAATAATAATAACAATAATAATAATAACAATAATAATAATAACAATAATGTTGTGCATATCAAACTCAGCACATCACTTCCATTTTGTCTCTTTATTGATAGGCTTGAGTAACAAAGGAAAGAAAGACTTCACAGCAAAACTTTTTCGCAGTATAGAGGCCGAGCTAAAAATTATATTTGTAGAATCATCAATAAAATTGATTATTCTCATGCATCTCAGTGTGCGTCCGCTGTTATCTATTCATCTATGCTTATTTTTTTGAACGCAATTGTTCGTTTTAAGATAATCCCAGTGTGCTGCTGGAAGTGCAAAGGGATTTCATAACCCAGGTAACCCATAATTTTCGTCAGCAATCTAATTTAAAACCGAGCTTTTAACATAATATTCATTGGCCTTGAGCGAGCACAATTAATCAAACACGATTTTCATCTTCGAGTGTTGGTGTATTCATATTATTGACATGCGGAAACGTGAAGAACCGTTTATGATGTCGATAGAAATAACATATTTAGTTCAAAGTCAAGAGAGAGAGAAAGAAAGAGACAGAGGGGCAGAGATATGTAAAAAGAGTTGAATTCAACCTTGGTAATTTTGTGGATTATAAAGAAAAATACATATATAACTAGTTATAGTTCTCACTAGAGCTGCCCCCGCCCTACAGTACCATTT